ACGGTAAATATAGCTGTAAAGATGTGTCTATAATGTCTCCGCAAGATGAGAAGACGGACAAGTTTACTCTGATTGTATACTGTAATTTTCTTGTCTTACTAAGAACAACCGTATGCTGTCAAAACATAAACAAACAAAATGGGAACATAGCAGACGAAACTCTTACAGATTACAGCTTTCTCAGTAGGTATTACTATCCTAAATCAAAGGTTTATTTAAAAAGACGATTTCGAATTCGTCACTGAATTCCCATGTTTATTGGGACACCCTGTAGAATAATATTTCTGAACAAAAATATTGGTATCTACAAAACAGCGTAACTCCATTCATGAAACCGAGTGAGATTACAACAGCTAATTGTTTTAACATCAGCTGTTATTTAATAACACTGTCAGATCTAACCCAAACATGCCAAAGCTCTAAAACTGAAACTGTTAAATGTATCATTAAGATCTATTAAAGGGACTGTAAGCGTAATTTTAAGTGACCCTCCATGCAAATGTGACAATGACAAACTCATTGTTGTGTTTTCGAAATTATTTTGATGTGAGAAATTATTAAGAAAAAAACACTTTTCGACTTTCGAGTAAGAAAAACAAAGTAATTTTCCAGATTTTAGACTAGATTAAGGTTTCAATGGTACCGGTGTACGTTAAAGGGGTATTGTTATCTTTGTATGAAATTTTGCAAACAGTCCCTTTAAATGCATCATCAAAGTCTGCAAGTGATGGATAATGTCTGAAGGAATGAAGAGTCAAGATTTTGTCAGCGTTTATCTTCATCAAAGTAATATGCTTGGCATTATCGCACTTTAATTGATGAAATAGTTTTTAGTCAACACAAAACATTCAAGTCAATTGGGGGTAACATGGGTAGATAGATGGGAAGAGAGAAAAAAGGAGGAGAAGATGGGAAGAAGATGGAAGAAGGAGAAAATGGGAAGAAGGAGAAGATGGAAGAAGGAGAAGATTGAAAGAAGGAGAAGATGGAAGAAGGAGAAGATTGGAAGAAGGAGAAGATGGAAGAAGGAGAAGATGGGAAGAAAGAGAAAATGGAAGAAGGAGAAGATTGGAAGAAGGAGAAGATGGGAAGAAGGAGAAGATGGAAGGAGTAGACGGAAGAAGGAGAAGATGGGAAGAAGGAGAAGATGGAAGAAGGAGAAGATTGGAAGAAGGAGAAGAAGGAGAAGATGGGAAGAAGGGGAAGATAGGAAGACGAAGAAGATGGGAAGAAGAAGAAGATGGAAGAAGAGGAAGATTGGAAGACGAAGTAGATGGGAAGAAGGAGAAGATGGAAGAAGAAGAAGATGGAAAGAAGAAGATGGGAAGAAGAAGAAGATGGGAAGAAGGAGAAGATGGGAAGAAGGAGAAGATGGGAAGAAGGAGAAGATTGGAAGAAGGAGAAGATGGGAAAATGGGAAGAAGTAGAAGATTGGAAAAAGGTCAAAATGGGAAGATGGGAAGACGAGAAGAAGAAGAAGATGGGAAGACGGAGAAGATGAGAAAATTGAGATGGGAAAATGGAGAAGATGGGAAAAGGAGAAGATACAAAAATGGAGAAAATGGGAAAATGGAGAATATGGGAAAATTGAGAATATGGTAAAATAGAGAATATGGGAAAATGGGAGAGATTCGAAGATAGGAAAAGGATAAAATAAAAAGAAGAAATGGGAAAAAAGGGAAAGATTGATAGATGGAAAATGAGAAGATGGAAAACATTGGATATATAAAAATAAGATCTGTATTTTCTACTGAACCTTCACTGAGCCCAACATAATAAAATAAAGTTTATAAAATTACATTTATTTAAACATATAACTACACAGGTACTTCAAACAAATACCAATTACGTACATTGCTAATCTATACTAGATTTTGCAATAAGTTTTGATTCAGTTAGATCAAATAGCCTAAGCTTGAAAAATCAAAGGTTTGCACAATCAAGTTGCAAGGATATTGTAATTATAAAATTTGAGTTTGTGTCAAAAACTCATTTCCATTGTTTTGCCATTTAATATTATAATTATCTGTTAAAACTTCTAAATTTTGAAAACATCTACATTACTTTTTAACATATTTATCTAAATCAAATTTAGGTTTTCTCTAATTCATTCATAGAACAATGTACAGGGTGGCCCACAAAGGATCTGACTTAATTGTTAAGATCTGAAACTACTAACAAATTATTCTTCAAATTCATGAATAAAGTTTTTAATGACCCATTTAATGGTAATCTAGAGAATCCAAATAGATTTTCAGGTGGCAAAAGAGGAATGGACCAATTCTACACGACGTCACAAGTGTCAAATATAACAAGGAAAACAATATTTTCTCACATTAGTCGACATGTTTTCCAAGATTAAATAAAAAGTGTAAAAACAGAAAATAAAGAAACCATATAATTGCACTTATTTTTCTGTAAGATAAGCACTTTACTCTAAAACTATCACTATATTTATAATTTTGTCAACCACAGAAACAAAATGTACACTTGTGACGTCAGAATAAAGCCCATTGAGATTGAACAAATTATACGCTGCCATCTATCTGATTTTCCCGTAAAAACTGGTGGAGGCGCCGGGTAACCGGAAATATATAATCTCCCGTTGTTTCTTCTTCTTTTATATATAGGCTGTTTTGATAAGCTCAAATTTGTCATTCAAGTATTGTTGTTTTTCTTTATTCATACAGGCTGCTTCGAGCAATCTCAAGTTTTCTTTAAGAGTTTTTAATTTAATCATTTAAATGTAAAACTTTTGGCAAATTTATACCTGAGAACTTGAATATTAATACTAACAAATTCTAAACACTAGATTTTATGTGTGTTTTATGTTTGTTAATACATATTTAAGTAATATGTGAAATTCATTCTTATTAATTAAACATTCTGAATAACTACATAAACAACATAGTATGGGGTAAAATAGTTGAACTATTGTTCCTTGGTTCAACCACCTCTTTGAAAGCTGAAGAAATGAATTTTGTGTTATAATTTTGAAATTTTCTCAGCAGAGTTGGAATGGGAATTGTTAACAGAGGTTTAAATAAATTCTACAAAATGCAAAGATGAAAAAATGCATGATAAACATTCTACGTGCTTGAAAATTTTTGGTGCGGTAGTATTCCAATGATGAAAACCTAGTTAAACCACTCCGAGCTGTGTTTTCTTAAAGGGACCGTTCACTTATTTGGGTAATTTCAGGGTAAACTAAACAGCCTATTCGCTCTTGATTGGTAATAGTCTTACTTTTCAAAGACAACTGTGGCCGGAGAAAAAGCCGATTTTTCGTTCAGAATTTGAGCTGAAAGGGACGGTCCCTCTCTATAGACACTAGGAGGAAATATTTCCAGCAGGGAATGATTCTCCCAATTTTTAGAGCAGCTCAAAGAAACTCACGTTATTGTGGTCTCCACATCTAACTACAATTAATAGCTCATATAGCCCATTAGGCTGAAACATTTTGAAGAGGGGCTGAGGGGGGGGGGGTTAGAATCAGGGAGTCCTTGGAGAGCTAGATTGATCGTTTTAGGGGTATTCATTCCCCTAAAGTTTCTATTAAGGAATTTGTTCCCCCTGACCATGAGGTATATCTGTAAGACAAATAATGATAGAAATACTAGAGTCGATGATCCCAGAGAAATGAAAAGGATTAAGAGTAGAGATCGCATTGGAGAGGACTCTGGCAGGAGTAGGAACAGATCTGAGTAGGTCTTGTAGGAGTAATCCAGGGTATTAGGAGGAGTAGGTCTAGGGTATGGAGTGCTCCATTGACGATTTGGTGTAGTTCTTCTGACCTCTCAAGAAGGAGGTCTGTTGCAGGATCTAGGTTGAGTGTAGTGATGAGGGAAGGGAAGGCCAGTGAAGTTGTTGATGTTCGATGAGGTTGAGTTGGAGTTTTGTGGGATTGATGAGGGTTCAGGTACTTTATAATTAGGTTAGCTGTTTGGTTTAGTGTGAATTGGACAATGTAATTAGATTAGAATTGCCGTCTTCTTGCTGTCTATGCTTACAGATTGGGCTTCTATGGCTTGAATGACTGATTGGAGTCTTGGTTTGAGGACTTAGTTTGGTTTTGAGCACAGTATATTGGAGTAGGTAGGGCTGGTTTATGATGCAAACGTCATGCCTGTGGGAGTGAAGATTAAGTATGGTTTGGTGTTGCAAAAAGGATTGGTTGGGTAGGGTGATGGGGAAGTTGTCATTAATGGTTGGTGTGTTGTCCAAGGAAATGGTCAGCTTAATGCAATGTTCTGTGTCATGTTTTTGAGGTAGTTTTCTAGGGATGCATGGACATAAGACCATGTAACAGAGTGAATAGCTTGGTGAATAGAATATTATAGTTTTCCAGAGTTGGAGCAGGAATCATTTTATGGACATTTTATTTTGCAAACATTTTTTAGATGGATTAGCGAAAAAAAAAAATTCTCAATTTTTGCTTATTTGCTAATTTTTTTTCAGATTCTAAAAGAAAAGCTTAAGAGCTCTTCAATGATGTATCATTTGTCTTGAACTTAAAAAATGATATTTAGAGGGGAGGATCTATCTTGGTTTTTAAGTACCCCAGAAGAGTTTGGGGGGGTGGGGGGGGGTAAAATTAAGAATTGACTGAGATATCAATAAATTTGTCTACACTTTAAACAAAAAAAGCTAAACCCCATTTGAAAATAGCAATAACAGCCAGTCCATTAAATAACATATCTTGAAATTGTACGCTGGCTCAGAATACTTTAGATAGGTAGATAGAATTATATCTCCATACCTTTACTCAAAATCTGTTTTTTTTTTAATGAAAATTCATCTCTTCATTCGTTCATCATTAGCTTTTTATAGGTTTTTTTTCAGCAGTTCAGTGAAAATTTGAATTCATACGTTTTTAGAATTATCAATTATTTTCCATTTATTTTTATCTACACAATCCTTCAATCAAATGGTTTATTTGTTAAATTTGTTTGTTAAGTAAGAAAACAATACAATTTCAGAAGTTTGATGAAAAAGTCGTTTTTTTCATTTAAAACCCATGTTTTCAAGCTTGTTTGAAAAAACATTGTTCGGAAAAAACTATAGTTTTTTCAAGTTCGTTCAAATTTATAAATTATTCTTTAATGGCCTGACAGATAAATAAAATGATGACAATCGTATGTTAATTTTTCTGAACCCCCCTATGATCTAAGAAAAATTTGGTTTGTATTTAGATATTTAGTTTGTTGACGAAACCCATGCCTATCTTTATCTAAGACTGTCCTCTAGGACTTACTCTAGCCCTGCTTGTCTAGCTTGTGGAGGAACAACATTGTTAGGCCTTAAGAACTTGAAAACCAAAAATATTTTAGTTTTAAGTTCAGTAATCCTGAGTTGGTGTCTTCTCCATATAAATGCTTTAATATGAGGCTTCTGACAGAAGTAGACCTGGTAGATAGGGAAGAAGGATCCAGCCCCTAAGATATTGACTGGTGCTCTACGTTGGTCATGTGACCTCATGACAGTGACGAGGACTAGGGCAAGGATGGAGAAGAAGATGGTGATAATAATGGATTTTGTGCTGATCATGTTTTTCACAGCATTTGCTTTCTCTGCCTCAACAATCCTAGTTCAGATTCCATGTTGAGCTGTCTTGGGTTGAAAAATAAATTTGGGACTAAATTAATTTTAAGTTGTTCAGTTGCTTGAACACATGTTTAATTTGTTTAAAATTTGCATAAAATTGAACACTTAAAACTAGCATGACAATTTTTATAACAATCTGTAAGAAGGGACTGAAACAGATCTTCACTCCATATTGGCTGGACAAATTGTCGTTTGCTTCCTATTGGTTGAAGAAAAACAGCTGTTCTATGATGAGGAGGGGGAGGATTGCAGAAGTCCTTAGTTTGTAATCACCACCACCCAAACGTATTTTATCTCAGCTTCCTAACCAGCCCTAGCCGCAGCGCTTGGCTCAAAAATCGTCTAATCATGACCTAACTATCAAATATTCAAAATAAAACAGTTGTTGTAGGTCCAATATGGCAATATGTCAGAAATTTAGTAGGTAAAAAGTTATATTGCGTCTAGACAATGTATCTTTATCGTTGGAAAGCTTAAATGGAGCAATGATTCTTGTAAGATTGTCAGTTTGTCATTAAATATAGCTAACCAAGATTTTAAAAAGAATCTGTACAGGGATTATTCCCATATTTTACTGAAATGGAATCCCTGGTGTTATGGTAGGTATTGAGATAATACCAGATGAAGGTGTAGGAACCAATTGCTGTAAGTAGAGAAACTGACCCAGTGATAAATATTGTTAAGATATGAAGATTAGGTTGGTCAGAAACCTCCAGACCAGTGTAGAAGGACTCTTGAGGGGTTACGAAACCTGGCAATTTAATAAATTGTTTACTTAATTGAATATAGAAAATACTTCTAATTTCTAGAATTAGGGACATGACTAAGACAATGTTACCACTCAAAGATGTTCATATAGTTTTCAAACAATTATAAGATGGCGAAAATTTTTTTGATTATGCAGTTTTACACAAGATGAATATCCAGGCCGGATCTGAAGCCAAACAAAAATTTAAATTATAAAATAACAAAGAAGTTTGATTTTTACCTACTGAGTAACACTGAGCTGCTTGAACCCCAACAAGGATGGCTAGAGGGATCAGGATTGAGACCATTATCCGTTTTGCCCAAACCTCAGGGTCAAGCTGGATCATCTTGTTGAACTAAATTCATTAGTTTTTGTTTAAATTCAAATATAGAAATCACCACAATTAAAATCAGATTTCTTTATTTGAATTTTAGTTTAATTTCAATTTAAATAAGAAGCAATCATAAATCATTAAAATTGCATTTCTTCCCAACAAACAAAAGACAGGTTTTTGACGAGATCTGACTGGTGGAGAAATGAGGAATAAATCATGTGAGCTTTTCACAAGCCCTCCTTACATATTATACATGTGGCAAAGCTGCCACTTGATAATCTAGCAAATTCATGTTGTGATAAGAACGAGTGGTAATTGTGCAGGAATTCTTGACTTATTTCCTGTCGTTTATGCTTGTGTCTATCTCTTTTTTTTAATGCGCCCAGACTAAAAAAGAAAAAGATTGGACTTTAATTGGCATTAAGTTTTTCTTCCTTTGTTTAAATGCACCCAAACTAACGAACAACAAGGGTGGGGCTGTAGTTTCTACACCCCCTCCCTAATATAGAAAATTATGCGATATCTATTGTAGTTGTCTGGGAGCAGGGGGAGTATGGGGTCGTCAGGGGTGCATTGCTCCTCAGCATAGCTTGCCATATGAGTTGTACATTTCAAACTAACATAATTTATGGTTATTATTATGTTCACTAAAGATATGTTATATAAGGAGTTAAAAACAATAACATTAGGTGGAAAATGCTGCAAACATTCTTAATGCAAAACTTGAAGCTAAAAACGTAATTTTTTTCTAGTGCTGAATATATAGATTTATTTTTAAACTGAAGAGCCATTTACAGAGGTCAATATGGTCTTATTTCTAAGAAATTTAATGTTACGCTTTTTTTGTCTGATTACCAATTGAAGTGGTGGAAAACACATTTGGGTGGTGGTGCCCTAAAACACATTTGGGTGGGGGTGATTACTCGTTGAGGAGTTCTGGTCTCCCCCCTCTTTTCATTACCGTGTTGGATATCGAAACAATATTAAAACAATCTGCAGATTAGCAAAGGCTCAAGATCGAAAATTGATCTCAATATCCACATCACAAAAAATCCCAGCTCCTTGCACATTTTCACATTTATAAGAGTTATTGCAACATTTTTTAAAATGTGTGTGCCTAACTAAAAGACTTAATATTAAAATTTTTAAGGATTTTGTTATAAATAAAAGCCCATTTGCTTTTCTATGGTTGAGTGATCAATACATACATGGATAAGAAAACTAGACCAACCTTCATCACCATCAGGGCTCTAACGATGGAGATGGCCATAGCGATGAGGATGGATACATTATGGAGATAGTGAAGAAAAGCTGCGGAAAAGACCCCAATTGAATAGGGCAGGTAGCTAACAGAGGAGCTCCACATTGTCAGAAAACACTGAACAAAATAGGAAAAAAAATCATCATTTGCAACACTATTCCGGACCTGCTTCCAGTCATTGGATTTGGACTTTTTATATCTCCTTGGGAAGCCTTGAGCAAAAGGAAGCAGATCGCACATTTTTTTGCAGATTATAAAAGAAAAACCCAAGGGCTCAAAAGTGTATCAATTATGTTATAGATTTGTATAAGAAAAGGGACATGGAGGACAGGATCCCTGGGACCCCCCCCCCCCTCCAGTCTATTTTGGGCAAACTAGACGTTAGCCTGAATAGGGTAATCCATGAAATGACCTCTCCTTGCATTTTTCTGTTCATAAAATGTCTTATCAATGTCAATATCCGGTACCCATTTCATGGCTGAAGTATGAAAATTCCCATTCTTTAAAATGTTCATTAAGTTTCCTTTTTTGAAAATATTTCTAAATGAATTTTCCCAAACCTCAGAGAACTAGAGGTGGGCAAAGTTCCATTAAGGAAACGGACGCATTTGAAAATTAACAGAATTGAGTCCATTATAACGTACAGAAAAACCAGTTAATTTTTAAATCATTAACATAATGGAAATAGCCGTTTTTGAAAAATAATTAATTGTTTAAAAAAAACGAAACATATATATTTTAAAATAACTATATTTTCCTTCTTGTTTTATGCTTAAAATGTTTTTGAATGTTGTCTTCAAGCTTTTTCCAGCTATTTTTACATGAAATAATCGTTTAACATATCCCGATTGGGCTATTTTTGTCTAAAATAGATGGGGGTGGGGTGATTTTCCACCCACCCCTTCTACGATTTGCCCTTAGAGTAGTAGTGGTAGTAGTTAGAGGGGAGTGTGATACATCTCCGTATTCCAACTTTTCAAGGCCTGCTCATTTAAAAAAGAATTAAACCTCTGACTTCAATAGTTAGGGTATGGGAGGATTTAAAAAGAAAATTAAAAAGATTGTTGAAAAAATTTTCAAAAATAGTTATTTTTACTTTTGACAAATATTAACATACAGGGTGTCCCAATAAACATGGGAATTAAGTGACGAATTCGATATCGTCTTTTTAAATAATTCTTTGATTTAGTAAAGTGAATCCTACTGAGAAAGCTGTAATCTGTAAGAGTTTCGTCTGCTATGTTCACACTTTGTTTATGTTTTGACTGCATACGGTTGTACTTGGTAAAACAAGAAAATTGCAGTATACAGAGTAAACTTGTCCGTCTTCATTGTTCATCTTACGGAGACATTATAGACACATCTTTACAGTCTTTTTACCCTTTTCATGAAATAAACTCTGGCGGACATTATACTATTATGGCTTTTGAAATTAGGTTTTACAATGCTAACTCATAACAAAGACGATATCCAATTTGTCACTGAATTCCCATGTTTTTTGGGACACCCTGTATTACACATGTTCGACCATTCTCTAACCTACTCTTTGCATCAACAAAAATACTTTTTAACAAAATTTGTTCACAGCTATGATGTTGAAAAAGTTTTAGCGTTATAATGTAAGCCATTTTTAAGTTATTCAGAAGAAACCACGGGGGGGGGGGGTGGAAAACACCCTTCTCCCAATCGAAAATAGAGTTAACGGTTGGCACTGTTAATGATTTCTAAAATATTTTCCCTTAATGTGGTGAATAGCATTGAGATTGTTCAGGAAGTCTATAAGATTTTATCAAACTGTTAACAAACAACTTGAATAAAGTCTGAACGCATGCACAGCCCTACATACAAGCAGTTAGTTAAAATTACCAAGTGAGTGGTGAATATGTTGAAGACCTCAACAAGATATCCATTGAGGAGAAGAATCTGGTTTATCCTAAGGAACGGAAGGGATTTCCGGTAACTGCGGAGTGTACTGGTCGCCATATTGGAAACAAGCATCAGGATACACATGTAGAAGAACACACCGAAGTTTGCATGATGGGGCAAAGGTTCTGTGTCAGTGTATTTTGAAACCGGGTCCAGGTAAGTGTAATTTGAAACCGGTTCTGGGTTAGCTTGGTCAAGTTCTAGGTTAGCATGGTTAAACTCTTCATTAGCATGGTTAAACTCTTGGTTAGCATGGTTAAACTCTTCATTAGCATGGTTAAACTCTTGGTTAGCATGGTTAAACTCTTTGTTAGCGTGGTTAAACTCTTGGTTAGCGTGGTTATGCTCTTGGATAGTGTGGTTAGAAATTGACTCAAGGAAAGTATGGTTGAGTACAAGTTTTAAAGTAGTATTGTTAAAAACAGGTTCAATAGTAGACTGGCTGAAAACCAGTTTTGCCAAGGAACTAGTTTTAGTCCACCGGGATGTTGGGGACCCCATGCCTATCTTTATCTGAAAACATTGAGAAGTATAGAGAGCTAAATTGACATCTTGTATACTTTTGTTTTAATATTTGTAGCCCTTTGTTCCATGTTGTATTATATTTAAAAACCTTAATATTCCAACCCACTTTTGACTCAAGGGAAATAGACATGTGATAATAATACAATGAATTAGGAAAGTATTTGTACAATCTCTTGTTAAAGGGCAAAATTAAAATCTCCAACCATAAAAAAGGGACAATTCCCAATCCACCTTGGAACAAAGGCAAATAAGTTAAGAATAAAAAAATTAAAAAATGACCTATCTTTTAGTTTTTTTATGACAATGTACAAGTAATTACAGCACTCAATCAACATTTATTTGAATCCAATTTATTTTACTGATTTTGTAATTGCTGGCGTTGAATAAATATTTCATCTGTCGCATTCTTACATCAAATTATTTTTTTTGCTTTGCTGGTTATTGATATACAAAAAGTTGTCAAAAACAAATTAATGGCCGGACCAAAAGCCATTTTATAGCGTGTAAGGATGAGATAACCAATGGATGAGATGACCAATGGATGAGATACAGTGTATTGATGAGATTACCAATGGATGAGATTACCAATGGATTAAATGATCAATGGATGAGATGACCAATGGATGAGGTACAGTGTATTGATGAGATTACCAATGGATGAGATTACCAATGGATTAAATGATCAATGGATGAGATGACCAATTGTGACATTTTTTGTCACATATAGATAAACTAAAATGCATGTTTCTCTAAAAAATTGTTAAACACCTTCAAACTTTTACATCCTGATCTCTAGATGTTTAAATTACTATCTTGGCATAGCAACGAAAAATACAGTTTGGTTTGTATCATGCATTTCAACATACTTCCAGACCCAGACATCTATATCTTTGTAACCTACTTTCTATCTAAAGTTCAACTTAGTAAACTAGGCTGCGCGCCAGACCAATCCTTTACTAGTTTTTTCTCTAAAACATCCAATAGAATCATGAAACTTTTTGTATCGACCAATAACAGACCAATATTTGATGTACAATCGTTTATTTATCCAATGAAACCATGTATGTCAAGGAATTTCATTATCTATAGTATGTTATCCTTTATATATTTGTGCGCAAGTGCAACCCCTTGTGATTTTTTTAGTATAAAAGCTTTGTAAACTTTGTATATTGTCACTCTATTCTCTACCTTTGTGAAATATATTCTGACAGATAAAAGTAAGTCATTTAATATAGTTTTTACTTATAGAGTCTATAGTCGGAAATTGTCCATCTTTGAGAGTGTTGTAAAAAGGAATGTTACAGCACTGCAAATCAAATCTCTAAAAACATACCCTGGGAATATTAGCGAAAAATTAGAGTTTTTTAGCTCTCCGCATTGCTTAAGCTTTGCGTTACTATTGTCTTTACTAAGACAGTTTTTGGGAATAGTTTCAGAGTAACAACATATGGACATTTTAGCCTAAAACATTCATATTTACATCACTCTAAAATTTGGATTCTTTCTGATTATATAAGATATATTAAAGCTTCATTTCTAGTAAAAAATATCACACCTAAAAAGCCCAGTTTTGTGGCAAATTAAGAACTTTAAAAGCTAGAAATTGTAGCACAATGGATGAGATACAGTGTATTGATGAGATTACCAATGGATTAAATGATCAATGGATGAGATGACCAATGGATGAGATACAGTGTATTGATAAGATTACCAATGGATGAGATGACCAATGGATGATATGCAGTGTATTGATAAGATTACCAATGGATTAGATAACCAATGGATGAGATACAGTGTATTGATGAGATTAACAATGGATGAGATGACCAATGGATGTGATACAGTGTATGGATGAGTTGATAAATGGATGAGATACAGTGTATTGATAAGATTACCAATGGATGAGATAACCAATGGATTAGAAAAAGTGTATTGATGAGATTACCAATTGATAAGATTACCAATGGATGAGATACAATGTATTGATAAGATTACCAATGGATGAGATGACCAATAGATGAGATATAGTGTATTGAAGAGATTACCAACGGATAAGATGACAAATGGATAAAAGACGGTTTATAGATGAGATGAACAATGGATGAGATAAACAATGGATGAGATGACCAATGGATGAGATGACCAATTGATGAGATGACCAATGGATGAGATGACCAATGGATAAGATGACCAATGGATGAGATGACCAATGGATGAGATACAGTGTATTGATGAGATGACCAATGGATTAGATACAGTGTATGGATGATATGAACAATAGATTAGATGATCAATGGATGAGATGCCCAATGGATGAGATAACCAATAGATGACATTACCAAGAGGTGAGATAACCAATGTATGAGATAACCAATAGATGAGATTACCAATAGGTGAGATAACCAATGGATGAGATGACCAATGGATAAGATACCATCATACAGTTTATGGATGAGATGGCCATAGATGAGATACAGTGTATGGTGAGATGACCAATGAATGAGATACAGTGTATGGATGAGATGACCAATGGATAAGATACATTGTATGGACGAGATGACAAATGGATGAGATGACCAATGGATGAGATGACCAATGGATGAGGTGACCAATGTATGAGATGACCAATTGATGAGATGACCAATGGATGAGATGACCAATGGATGAGATGACCAATGGATGAGATGACCAATTGATGAGATGACCAATGGATGAGATGACCAATTGATGGGATGACCAATGGATGAGATGACCTGACCAATGGATGAGATGACCAATTGATGAGATGACCAATGGATGAGATGACCAATTGATGGGATGACCAATGGATGAGATGACCAATGGATGTGATGACTATGATGGATAAGATGACCAATGGTTAAGATGACCAATGGATGAGATGACCAATGAATGAGATGACCAATGGATGAGATGACCAATGGATGAGATGACTAATGGATGAGATTACCATGATGGATGAGATGACCAATGGATGAGACGACCAACCGATGAGATGACCATGATGGATGAGATGACCAATGGATGAGATAAGTAATGAATGAGATGACCAATGGATGAGATGACCAATGGATGAGATGACCAATGGATGAGATTACCAATGGATGAGATGACCAATGGATGAGATGACCAATGGATGAGACGATCAATTGATGAGACGATCAATGGATGAGATGACCAATGGATGAGATGACCAATGGATGAGATTAACAATGGATGAGATGACCAATGGATGATATGACCAATGGATGAGATGACCAATGGATGAGACGATCAATGGATGAGATGGCTAATGGAGGAGATACAGTGTAAGGATGAGATGAAAAATAGATGATATGAGCAACGGATGATATAAGCAATGGATGAGATGACCAATGGATGAGATGAACAATAGATGATATGATCAATGGATGAGATGAACAATGGATGAGATGAACAATAGATGATATGAGCAATGGATGAGATGACCAATGGATGAGATTACCAATGGATGAGATGACCAATGGATGATATGACCAATGGATGAGATGACCAATGGATGAGACGATCAATGGATGAGATGGCTAATGGAGGAGATACAGTGTAAGGATGTGATGAAAAATGGATGATATGAGCAACGGATGATATAAGCAATGGATGAGATGACCAATGGATGAGATGAACAATAGATGATATGACCAATGGATGAGATGACCAATGGATGAGATGAGCAATGGATGATATGATCAATGGATGATATGACCAATGGATGAGATAAACAATGGATGAGATGACCATGATGGATGAGATAACGAAAATAGCGGATAACCAAAATATCGAATAACGGATATATCACTTAAAGAGTAAATAAGATACATCATTAATAGAGTAAACTAAAATTAGGCTGAGTTTTCGCATTTTTTCACGAGAGTTTTCTTTCGCTGTAATTTTCCACGAGGAGGTGCAAAAAAATTTTTTTTTCCAAACTCATTTCAGAAAATCATACAACATGTTTTATTACAAGTTTAGAGGCAAATGTGAAAGGTATGGGTCCAATATTCATAATAAATATTACAAGTTTAGAGGCAAATGTGAAAGGTATGGGTCCAATATTCATAATAAATATTATACGTGCAATTTTTTCAATAAATAATCTTGCTTGGTAAAATGAGGCAATCATATAACAATTAATGCCCATTGATGATAAAGTTTGAAATGTTAAAAACAGATCTTTTTTATCTTTTAAGCTGTGACCGTCTTTGTGCACTAGTTTATAAAAACGCTTAAAACCCCGCTTTCTGAGACACGTTGATGTTATGTGATGTTATGTTAAAGTCATTCATACTAAAATAATTGACTAAAATGTCTGTGTATCCTTCTGTGTCTTGTATTTGTGTATCCCTCTGTGTCTGCGCCTGTGTATACCTCTGTGTCTTGTGTCTGTGTATACCTCTGTGTGTCTGTGCCTGTGTATCCCTCTGTGTCTGTGCCTGTGTACACCTCTGTGTCTTGTGACTGTGTATACCTCTGTGTGTCTGTGCCTGTGTATCCTTCTGTGTCTGTGCATGTGTACATCTCTGTGTCTTGTGTCTGTGTATACCTCTGTGTGTCTGTGCCTGTGTATACCTATGTGACTTGTGTCTGTGTATCCTTCTGTGTGTCTGTGTCTATGAATCCCTCTGTGTCTTGTGTCTGTGTATCCCTCTGTGTCTGTGCCTGTGTATACCTCTGTGTCTTGTGTCTGTGAATCCCTCTGTGTCTGTGCCTGTGTATACCTCTGTGTCTTGTGTCTGTGTATACCTCTGTGTGTCTGTGTCTGTGTATACCTCTGTGGGCTTTGAGGATATTTTTCAAGTGCATTAAAGACATCGAAGGGCATATTTTCATGAAGACAATTATTTTTCTAGGTTTCACTGTTTAGCCAAGCAAGAAAAGTTTAGTATTTGTTGGTCCTTTTATTTGGTATTTTACACTTTTGCCCCTAATCTTGGTATTAAAACATTTTCAGGGTTGTTTCTTAAT